TGCAATTTGCCATTCATTTTCATTCACTGACTCAGGTATCTGCCAAAAATATGTGTTTGTTATACCTCATTGTACTTCTTGCTTTTGTACTTTCACTCTGCTACTGCAGAATGTTGTAGCATATTTGTTAGCCTTGCTCCCTTCTCCATCTCTCATTTCATACTAGAGGGAAAATTTTAGCCTTTTACAGTTACAAAAAAAAAAGTTGCCCAAAACCTCCTCAGCTTTTATTAACTTTATTAGCTATGGTGTACTTTAGAATGATACTCCTCTCCTGTACCTGAGATAATAACTTTAAAGGGGCTCTACTAGTAGATTTCATAATGCATTTTGTTTTTTGTCTTTTTGTTTTATGTTTTTTTCTTCTAAAAGCATATGAACTCCTCAATAGCATGCTTCCTTCTTCTCTTACCACACTTTCATTTATGAGCTTAGGCTGGAGATGTGATTTCTTCTTATGTACCATCTTAAAAAATTGTGCAAATTAAATTCTACACCAGAAGGAAAAGTACAGTCATGATGAGGCAATTCAGAAAAAGGGAAAAATTTCTAAGGGACAGTTGAAGCCAGTCTCAAAGGACTTTCCATTCTTGGAAAGTGGACTTAGCCTAAATTGTGATAATTTTGAAAGTTTTACTTTTGGCAGATAAGTATTCATCATTTAAAACTAGCTCCTTAAAAATTCTCATTATATAGCCATCAAAAAATAAACCCAAACAAAAGCTTTATTTTTCATCTTACCTGTTTTTCTGCAGAGTTTCCATGCATTTTCCAGTTATTTAAAGTCTACAGAGGCTTGAGGCCTGCTTATAATTTGACAAGCAGTCTTGAGATCCACCAACAGCTTAAGTCACCGGAGGCTTTTCTGCGTCTTGAAATTAGATTATAGCACCTGATTTAAGAGGTAACTTTCATTCTTATGTGGTACTGAAAAGTTGTCACCTTATTATGAAATTCTAGTATTTAAAAAATCATTTTCTAGATATGGGATTTCCCATGAGGAGTTTATACAACGATATATAACTATTTTAGTTGTCTTGAAAGTAATATCTCAAAGACACTAAAAAATGTTTGTCATTAATTACCACTGTGCCATATAAGCTGTAGTTATGTTCTGGTTTCCCCTATCTGTTCGACTAGACTAATTAAAGCAAGCAGCAGTATTGTTTTACTTAAATGAAATTCAAACCAGATAAAATATTGCCTCCTTTATTTTGGTGCAATAGAGAGAGTTGTAGAAAAGCAGTTAAATCCCTCATCTCATGTTCAAGTCAGGGTCTACTTCAAAGTGTCTAACAGCAAGAGCAGTCACTGCCTTACTTTAACTGGACTTTTGACTAAGCACATCTCTTCAGACCCATGTAGGCATTTAATAACTTTTAGGTGTTTAATTAAAAACATTGGAAGGAGTTTGGATGATTGAGTCAGATTCTCAAAGGTATTTCTAAATTTTATGAACTTCTAAATGAATGTATGATTTAATCTATATTGCCTAACAACTTCTGAATCCAGTATCTCATTTACATGGAAGCCAATGCTTTCAGGTGGAAGTAATCAAGATATTTATGTTACTGTCTGAGAGAGCTTTAAGGTTGCATCATTAAAATGTGCTTGGACTTAGCATTGCTGAGGTTAACAAGTGCACCCTTCATCCCTGAGTTAGGTACATACGATCCCTCCAGAGAGCTTGGGAGAAATAACTACCTAAAGGTAACAGAGTATTTATTGGAGCAGTACCTATTGGTCTCCCTTCTTCTTGTTCAAAGTCTGGCAGAGAAGGGGCCAGGCGCCTACTCTAGCTCAGAGTGTGAAGTGCAAGGAGACATGATCTGTGAACTGGGGTGGATTTGAGCAAAGCCAGCTAGTCCTGGGACTGACAGGCTGGTGACCTGTGGGGAAGCACTAGATGCACACCAGGTGCACCAAGGTTGGGACTGTTGCGTGCAAATGTGCCCCTGAAATGAGCCAAATCATTCACAGAGCCTTATGGGAGCTATGGCACACTGTAGGGTCTTCTTTTCCCTGTTATATTTTCACTCCCATATACACCTTTGATTTGGTTACATTGGAAGTTGTCTAAATTCTGGTGCTGGGATGACTCCATGTTTCTTACTAACTGTGAATGACAAGACATCCTTCCTGTTGGATCAATAGTAGTGAGGAAAATTAATTTTCTTACATGCGCATGCATTGCATAGCAAAAAAAATTCAGAATTGCTCACATTACATGCACAACATAAGTAGTGCATGTACAGAGAACATGCTTTATGTTGCAGGTTCAAGGATTTGAATTTCTAAGTTACGTAAAAATCCTAGTAATGTTTTACAGAGGGTCTTTCTTATTCTGCCACTGGAAGGTTGGGGGTACGAGAGAAAGTGGTACTGAGAAAATAAGGTATATGTGGCCACAGAGTCATGCAAATGAAAGAATTATATTAAGGTTGCAAGGAATAGGAAATGACAGATATAAAGACTTTCAGATATTTGTTCTTTTCAAATCCTCTTAGTTGTTTATCATTACTTTTCTGATTTTCTTTAAGGAAAAAAAGGTCAAAATAATTCCTTGATACATGAAAGCAAACTTTCCCTATCCAAACCCTTGGGCAAGTTTTTAAAGGTCTAGAGAAGCAATGATTCAGAAGAACTGCTAGTTACTTCACCTCTGCTTATCATAGGCCATTGCATTTTATTCAGATATTCCTGTATTGAGCCTAGCAACTTGTATTTGGCTGAAGCACACCCTTTGCAAAGTAGCAGACATTGATTTGGAGACATCAAAAGGTGGAAAAATTACTCCTTTCTTGTGTAATTTTTCCCCAATAATAATCACCTTAGCTATCAGGAAAAATCTGTCACTGTTTCTGAGTTGAGCTTTCTGGCTTTAACATATCTGTCCTTGTTATGCTTTTCTTTGTAGTCTGAAAGAGCTCTTCAGTACTTGCTATTTTCTTCCTGTGGAGGTCTTCAGACACTGTAATCAAGTCACCTCTTGGTGTTCTTTTCGATAAAATAAACGTGCTGAGCTCTTTTAGTTACTTGCAGGAAGAATTCTCTCCATTCCTTTCACTTTTGTGGCAATTTTAATGCATCTATTCCTACTTTTCATAGTCTTTTTGTTTGCAGTATGAACAATTCCAAATATTATCAGTGGTGTCCATAGAAGTAAAATCACGTTCCTACTACTCCTTTTCAGACATTTAATGGAAATAAGCCCCTTTTAGAACAGATTTGCAATCTGAATGTTCAGTGAGTTTTTGTTCAGTCTTGTATTTGTTTCTTCTTATATGTGCTCTCATATTTGTTTTGGAAAGGTGTCTTACGGGCTGTGATATGAACTACAGGATGGATTGCCTCCTCTGTTGAGAAGGTTGATCTGGGAGGGTGCAGAAGCCCAACTCTGATCAGCAAATGCCTCCTTGTGCTCTCTGTCTTTGATCTTGGAGGAGCTCAAAGTGGGGCAGAGGGAGTCTGGACCATTGGGGGTCACACCATCAATGTACAGCTTTTGTTGATGCTTCCCTTTGGCTGTCTTTGCTCAGAGATTTCTAATGCTTCACTTGAATGAAGATGTGAGCCTGGGCATGATATCTACATGAGAAAAATTTAGTTTCTTTTCTCTTGTCTATGCTTCAAACCAGCATTTGGTTTCATTTTAGCTGTAAGTTGTAATTAGAGTGGTTTAGAAAAACTGATCCTACTTTTAGCATTTTGTGTTGGTCATAGAATGACATTTCTCCCCATATTTTAATTAAGAGCTACTTTACATATTGAGCACACTTTGTCAGCACTGCTCAAATTATTTTTATTTTTATTTTTTATTTTACACATCAACATTAAAAAGGCAAATAGATACATTGCTTTACATGTTCATCAGCTGAACCAATCAAATCTTATATTTCCACTGTAAATTAATGACATAGTGAAATCCAGCTAGACATGTCTCCATGTGTGTTACATGTGCACATTTTAGTGCGGGCACAAACCTACAAAATATGGGGCTGAAATGGTTTTCAGAAAGAAAATGTGCCATTAAGTGTGATAATAAAATTAACAGCAATTAGCAAAAGTAACTAGTTGGGGTGAAGCATTGCAGAAAGGAGAATTAAGTGTGCCCTTATGTTAACAGGTTCTCCTTCATCCTTTGTGTCCATAGTAGAGCTAGAGCAGTCCTCCCAGGGGGGCACAGGCTGTCCCCCCAGACTGCCACCGAGACACAACAAAACAGGTTGCCATCTCAAAAAAGCAGATCCTATTCATTTGTGTAGGTTGAGGCTTTTATCAGCTGGACAAAACAAGTGCTTCATTTTGACGTAATGAAAGGATGCAGAAAAAATATTGCTATAATAATTTTTTCCCCACTGTGACATCCTAGCTACACAATACTCATCTTTTACATTAACAGTCACAAAAAAAGAGGGCTGTGAAAAGCTGATGATAAGAAAGGAAGAGAAATTGCAAATGAAGGACCAAAGAAGGGAAATGAATAAAACTTGTACGTGCTGGCATTGTTGTAGGGAATTCAAGGATAAGACTCTATCATACCAGAGGCACTCTGGCCTGGCAGACATAACAGTTAACATGGATTCTTACCAGAAAATGGGATAACTGTTCTTTCCACAAAACAAACCCGTAAATCTCACAATCACTGACAGTTAATTATAAGAGAAAAACCCTCAAAATACTTTGAACACTTGCAAATGTAGCAGTGGTATTTTCTTGTAGAAGGATTTAAGAAGATAGAAATGAAACCAGCATTCAGCTGACTAAATGTGTTCATATACCTGCTTTTGCCTGTGGTGAAGAGTTCTAACTGCTAACACAGGTACTGAGAGGCTGAGTCAAATGTGTTTATTATTATTCCAAGGGTCTTGTATGCATATGCACTTCTGCCAGAAATGACAGAAAAAAGCCCCTGTGTCAAGGCCTGACAAACTGTGACATATTTGAATGGGCATAATAATATTTTGAAATAATAAAGCCTTACTCATTTTGTTCTTCAGGTACACAAAGATGAAGACAGCAACCAACATCTATATTTTTAATCTGGCTATGGCAGACGCACTAGTTACCACGACTATGCCTTTCCAAAGCACTGAGTACCTGATGAACTCTTGGCCCTTTGGTGATGTGCTGTGTAAAATAGTTATTTCAATTGACTATTATAACATGTTTACCAGCATATTCACACTGACCATGATGAGTGTTGATCGATACATTGCTGTGTGTCACCCTGTGAAGGCTCTGGACTTCCGCACACCTCTCAAGGCAAAGATAATCAACATCTGCATCTGGCTATTGTCCTCATCTGTTGGTATATCTGCAATAGTTCTTGGAGGTACCAAAGTCAGGGAAGGTGAGTGTGAGCATTCAAAATCTAGTCTTTTTGTTTCTCAAATTACATAAAATGTAGCTCTGAATATTGATTAAACTTGATTAATTCCTTCTTTGAAAAGTATGGCTAAATTTCTGACATTTTGCTATATGTTGTGAAACATTACAGTATAATATAAATTATTTAAGCTCAGATGCCTTGGCCAACTAAAAGAACAAAACACACTTTGAATTTTGTCTAGTCTATGCTAGAGTTAGACCATAAAAACCTACAAGAAGACAGCAGGGGGAAATCCAGAATTTGCTCACAGTGGACAGATCAAAGATCAATTTAGGATAAAAAATTAAATGTCAGCTTAAGGTGTTTTTTGTAGGTGTTGTGAGAGTAGTTCTGATGAAGTTCCAAGAGCAGAAACTAGATTGCTTGTTATTACTATTAATATTAAAACTATCATTAGTATTAAGACTTGTGAGCTTATTATCAACAAGTTATTTCACAGAACTTGATGGCATGGTGAAGAAAGGAAAAGCCAGTAGTTGGAGAGAAAAGGACATGCAAAGTGTCTCAAATTCTTGTTTATAAAGGGATGGGGAGAGAAATTTGGAAAAGCTGAGAATAAGGATCAATAAAGATCAGCAGAGGATCTGGGAATACAGACCATGGCAGGGGAGCAATTGCAAGAACATAAAGCCAATGAGCTCTGTATGCAGACTGCCTGTAGGCTTTGCTTGAAATTTATAATCCATAAAGGACTGTGCATTTAATCCCTGTAACTAGTGACTCATTACCAAAACTGCCTTGCTATGGGGTTAATCTTATTTTGACAGCCTTCTTGAGAAGGAAAGGGGAGAAACGTTCCCACACACATATATACTTCATACCTACAGGCACAAGTGCAGTGCAGGAGCACCTGTGTCTTGAGAAGTCTTGAGGACTCTAATGATATACTTGGGTTGGGATCATCCTATTAATGGATGGCTTGGTAAAATACAAGACATGTATATTTATTTGCTGGTAGTCTTGATTGAGATGTAAATAATAATTTGAAAAATTATTAATGATTTTCTGAATTAACAATCTTTTCTATTGAAAGGTTTCACTTTATGTAAGGACACTGTTTTGTCCATCAGAGGCAATAAATTCTGCACATTAAGCTGTTTGGCATGGACCAGTGCAAACGAAACATTTCTGTAACAGCTGCACAAGGGCTTATTGATTTGGCTGAAGAGGTATAGATTTTGTTCTTGCTGTTGGCCTTCTGGTGGGTAAGTGACAGGAGAGTCCTCTGCAAGCTCTTCTTTCAGCTGTTTGGGAGATCAAGTGTCCTGGTCTGCAATGCTGTAACTCTTCTCCCCAGTGATGTTTTGACAGGCTGTATAAAAAAATGTCTCACTTGAGAAACATTAACTTCCAGGCATCTTCATTTGGGAAAAATGATTGTCTCACTACATATTAGATATTGGCCATGGGACATTGTTTTGGCCCAGTGTTTTGTTGGAGCATGCTTGACTAGCAAAATATTCCTGTCATTCACTGTATACATCGCATTTAGATCAAGGGGCTGCTCTCAGGCCAGAAATGATTGAATGCCTCTGCCACATCATGTGTCAGGCAGCCTTTTTTTTTTCCCTCTTGAAAAAAGACACTAGTAATGCCACAGCTCAGCTGGGCCAGAGAGAGTTGGAAATTATTAGCAAATGCTTGTCAGTCCCTACTGTTCAGCTCTGCTTGTCTGATCTAAGGTCTCCCTAGAGCTTCTAGCACCTATTATCTTGTCTAGTGTGTTCAAGACTTGCGCTGATAAATGCTGAAGGGGAAAAACAAGGATCCTGCCTATGCCTGACAGCTGGAGCTTAGGACTGAAACTTCATGTTATGTTGGACAAAATAGTTGCTCTTTACGTGATACAGGGCCTCTGCTGTATTCAGATTTAATCAACCGCTATACATCAAATGGAAAGTGATCATATTTAAAGTTCTTACCCCATGCTCAGTTAGTCCATTGTGTACCCACAATACAGGATTCCTCCTAGTGATGTGCTTCTGGATGCATTTTCCCTGCAGGATAAAATTTACATCTGTGTAAATATTCCCTCTCTGGAGTTAACAGAGCTTTTCTTGCTGAAGAATTGTTCACTTTAAAAACATAAATGAACTAGAGGTGCTATTAGTATTCCCTGTAGTAGTACGAAGACTCCATTTGAATACAGAAGAATATGAATGCCTAAAGGTGACACAATTAGTAATACAACTGATGGAAATATATACCCTATGTCAAGATTAAAAATAATCTTAAATGGTAGCTCATCAAACAGTTAAAAAAATTATTTCCAGTAACATACCACCTAGGCTGAAGTACTTTTTATGAAAGATTTCAATATATTTGGAATATTTGACTTTCAGAATGGAAAAGGTCAGCATGAAATTTCAAGTACTCAGTTTGTGACACTGTACTTAGTTCTGCTTTTTTTCAGGCAACAATAAATTGCATTTTAATATCTTCCAATGTTCCTGAAAATTATTATGATATTGTGCATTAAGACAGGGATCTTTGTTGATTATTTGCTATTTGGAAACTGAAAAAATATAAGTGGGCTCTGTACAATTCATAGCATTACATATATCTAGTGAAACAGAAATATTAGTAAATATAGAATAAGGTTTTCCACAGAAGGTAAACTGTAATGAGATATAAGGCAATCATTACATTTGTATTAGATTATTTGGAATTCAAAAATGCCATTGCCAACTACTAATTATATTAAAAGGTAGCAAGCATGACTTAATTATTTTGATAAATATATGAAATTATGTCAGTAGATGTGACAGAAGAGACAGTTTCTTCTGGGAGGGGTTTTTCTGTGGTCCCTCCCAGAAGAGACAGTTTCTTCTGGGAGGGACCACATCCACACCTGGATGTGGTTCAGAGCAGCTATCTCTGATCACACCTCACTTTTATCCAGAAGGCACATTGGGGTGCAGCTTTACTAGCCTAGATATTATAGCTGCATCCTGGTTTATTGCTGCTGGTAGGCCATGACCTACTACAAATAACAGCAATAATCAATGTGAAAACTTATTTCAAGATGATTGTCGACATTTCTAGAATAAAATTAAGTGAAAGCAACTACACTTATGAAAACCTAGATCATGAAGGATTTAGAAAAGTTGACCGACTGTCAAGACCCCATTAAGTCATACTTGTACTGTCAGTTTAGCATCTCCTATCAGGCTTGAAATATATGCCTTTTCACTTTTCAGCTTTGAGAAACATCCCTTAGTTGTTATGTTTTTTGAAATGAAACCACAAAATGTTTAGCTTTGATTTCAACTTTTTTATTTGAATGTTTTAGTGTATCACCCAGTAACAGCTTTCTGATATCTAACTGCAGAAATGTTTGCATGATGCCATAATAACAACTTCCCCCCTAGCTGTTTTTCAAAACAAATTGTCTGCAATATCATCTTGGTTTGTGAAGCATTTCAATAGTGGGGAAATATGTTTTGATGGAATTTTTCTGACTAGTTCTGCTGGAGACAGATATAAAATAAGTGATGTGCAAGAGTATACTGAATCATTCCATCCTTAGATTCAATAAAAGCCAATAAATAAGCATTTGTAGAGGAACGACAAACTCAGTAGGGAAAATGAAAAAATCTAAAGAACAATACAGTGCTCAAGAGGATAAAACATAAGCTATAATTCAGAGTGAAAAATCCCTGTGTTACCTTGACTTGCCTTCAATAAAGTTTAACTGCCAATAGTAGTTGTAAATTTACCCCTTCTATTGCCTTGCCATTTATCTGGGGTTTTGGTTTTCTGTATGGTTTATATGCTGAGGGAATTTAATGAGATCAGCAAATGAAACCTTAAATGCTTCATTTCTTAGCAGTTTCCTGTCAGATGAAATATTTCTGGGACTTAAAACTGAGTGACAGCCTATGACTCTGAATCCCGGCATGGGCAATCAGAAGGAAGCGTGCTGGTGTCAGGGTCTCAGATGCTGCAGTCTCTGCGCAGGCTGAAGTTTCAATGACATGATTTGCAAAAAGAGCAGCTTCCATTTGACTCCATGCACACACATATTTTATTTAACCGAAAAGAAGCTTTTGTCAGGAAATAAGTTTTTCTGAAGGCAAGTACTTGCATATATCACATTTCACTGAAGAAGGCACATGGGAAAAGATTATTGCACAATTATCATATATTGGCAAAATCTTCCTACGATCAAAATTTCATTCGGCTCCCTCCATTCATGGTACCAGAAATCTGTCTCCACCCACAGATAAGAACATATGCAGTTTGATAATAATGATAAGATTTCTACTCTGTTGAACATGGTACTCATTCTGGCTTTAAATGTCAATGAGATTCAGATGGAAGCATCTTTACGAATGTTTGGTTTTGTCTTCTGCAGTTTTAGGTCTTCTCATGGGAAACAAATTTTGTACAATGTTATACATTTTAAAAAGCCCCTATCTCAATAATTTCTAGAGACAGCTGCATACGACCAGTTTTTCTTGGAATGACTTAAAAATAACCCTATTTATTAATATCACATTACATGATAATCACTTTGCCTAGCTTATGCTATGGTGATTAGTTTATTTACAATAATAATGAAGCAATTTTCTTTTTGCTTCTTTCATTTCCAGATACTGCTAGCACTGAATGCTCCTTACAGTTTCCAGACAGAGATTACATGTGGTGGGACATCTTCATGAAAATCTGTGTCTTTGTCTTTGCATTTGTTATTCCAGTTCTCATTATAATTGTTTGCTATACTCTTATGATCCTGCGCCTTAAAAGCGTACGGCTTCTCTCAGGGTCTCGAGAAAAAGATCGAAACCTGCGCCGCATTACCAGGTTGGTTCTTGTGGTTGTGGCAGTTTTTATTATCTGTTGGACTCCTATTCACATTTTTGTGCTGGTTGAAGCCTTAGGGGATGTGTCCCACAGTACTGCTGCTGTATCCAGCTATTACTTCTGTATTGCTTTGGGTTACACCAACAGCAGCCTCAATCCAATCCTTTATGCTTTTCTGGATGAAAACTTCAAGAGATGTTTTAAGGACTTCTGCTTCCCCTTTAAGATGAGAATGGACAGGCAGACCACCAGCAGGGTCAGAAACACTGTGCAAGACCCAGCTTATATGAGGGAAGCAGATGGGACAAACAAACCTGTATGACTAGTCGTGGAAATGTCATCTTACTGTCCTCAAGAGAGAGAAGAGTCCAATGACCTAGGACTGACGCAGATTACAACTGCAGTTTGAACTAGACTCAACCAGAAAGAAGTTTCTGGAGTATTTCAGAAATCCTAGTAGTTGGAACTAAAGCAAGTTTAGTATCAAGAAACAAGAACCTCCTGAAAATAAGATCAAATGAAAAGGACTTGGCTGATGGTCAGGTTTTGGCACCATGTTTGCTGTACTTGAGCAGGTACTAAAACATGCTTTTGGGAAGACAGGAGGTGATAGTGTTGTACCAGCTTACCAGGATAAGGAAAGTTCTGGACTTTCTCTTTACAATATGTAAGGTTGTATTAAGCAACATTTGGTCATAACACTGAGTTATGCCAGAAACTTCTGCCACACTGATGATTGCTTCTTAGCTATGTAGTTTGACAACTTGATTTGTCATACTCTTTTACAGTGAAGAGTGTTTAGGCTTCTGAAGAACAATGCCAGAGCTAAAATCAATATTGTCGTCAACTAATATATCTGTAACATTCGTTTGTGCTGTGGAAATACAATTTAAGCATGATCTGCCTACACACCAAAGTGATTTTATTGTATCTGTGTATGGTAAAGCATTTTGGCATTTAAAAATGTCGGGATTTAAGGAGAACTGTTAGTATAGTTTTAACATGTATTCAATCATCCGTGTGTAATGTTTTCTATGTGTTATTTTCTAAGATGATTGCATATTTATTGATTGTGCGTAATATAATATGAATTTTCGCATTTTCAGAGTGTATTTTGAACAAGAGGCTAGAAAAATTCAAATATTTCGCTTGTTGCAAAACTGATGGAAAACTGCCACATTCACTACATAGAATGAAATAATCAAATTCCATTTTCAATAAAGGAAACAAATAAACATAAAAATAATGCTGTACTTCTTTTTCTGGACAATTTGTAAGCAGATTAAAATAAATACTTGATTAATTAGAAACAAGTGAATTAGCACATGGATTGACGCAAATGAAATGAAGATTAAATATACTGGCTACTTTAATGACATTTTACTGGAAAAGTTCATATTTTATTGATGATGATGCATTTTCTTTGATACAAACGTATGAATTTAGTAAATTTATCTGTTTTCCTGTGAAGATGGAGATGCCAAGGCACAGCTACACTGATTACTGGCTTGTATGGCTGTTTATGGTAAAACTGAGCCTAACTTTTAGTCTGTAGTATTTTATCTTTTAATTGTTATATATTACAACCCCCACCACTGCTACTGCTGAAGTTTGGAGGAGTGATCTCATTATCTTCACTGGGAACAGATCTGGGCACCAGACATCTTCCTGGTAACTTTGTTCTTTATAAAAAGTCATGAATGAGGTGGGTGCCTTCATTACTTGGCAGATTTTCTCAGAAACACAGTTTGGTTTGGTCCTACTGGACCAAAAATCCTTTATGCACACCAACATAAACCAGGAGATTTCCTCTCAGAATCATAGAATGCTTAGGGTTATGATCACCTAGATAAGATCATCAAGTTCCAGCCACCATGCCATGGGCAGGGACACCTCACACTATACCATGTTGCCCAGGGCCCTGCCCAACCTTTGAACACTGCCAGGATGGAGCATTCACAACTTCTTCGGGCAACCCATTCCAGTGTCTCACCACCCTCACAGTGAATGATTTATTCCTTATATTCAGTCTAAACTTCCCCTGTTTAAGTTTTAATCTGTTACCCCTTGTCCTGTCACTACAGTCCCTAGTGAAGAGTCCCTCCTCAGCATCCTTATAGGGCCCCTTCAGATACTGGAAGGCTGTTATGAGGTCTCCACACAGCCTTCTCTTTTCCAGGCTGAACAGCCCCAACTTTCTCAGCCTGTCTTCTTACAGGAGGTGCTCCAGTCCCCTGATCATCCTTGTGGCCCTCCTCAATTGTTCCAACAGTTCCATGTCCTTTTTATGTTGAGGACACCAGAACCACACACAATACTCCAAGTGAGGTCTCAAGAGGGCAGAGTAGAGGGCAGGATCCTTTGACCTGCTGGTCATGATTCTTTTGATGCAGCCCAGGACATGGTTGATTTTCTAGGCTGTGAGTTCACACTGCAGGCAGTAGCTTGCAGTAGCTGCCAGGTTGTAGCTGGCAGTACAGTTCCCATGGAAATGCTGTAGAGATTCAACCCTCTGCATAATTTCCACATCCTTTATTGTTAATACAGCCATGTATATCAAGTATTTTTATATCAGGTTGATAAATACAGTGCTTCTCCATTTATCTTGTGGTACCAGACCAATCCTGAACTCTCAGAAGTGCTCACAGCCTTTCAGTGGTGTTGCTGTGTGAAGCAGAGCTGTAAGATTCAGGACATGTAGTCTGATGATTCACAAGCAGATGCTCTATTGCAATTATCTTTGTTAATGAAAATATTCAAGATAATCCTTTCTGGACAAATCTAACACTTTCTGATTTTTTCTACATAAGTGAACAGATGACCTCAGGATACTTGATTCATCTGGAGAGATGAATGATGCTAACACAACTGATTGAGTCTAATTTCCTACTTTATTCCTCTTTCTTATTTTACATGCATACACCTTTCTAAATAAAGTTCTGACCTTTAAATGGTCATGAAAAGAGAATGCTTAAGGTTAAAATTACCAATACACAGTATTTATCAAGTTAGGAGCAGAGAAACTGTGAAAGAACTAAGCCCTAACAAATTATTTTAATTTCAAATAACCTGTACTCTGGTTCATGGTTTACCATTTGCATATGTATATCTGTGTTTTAATAGAATTATTACTCTATAGATTAGTGCAGTGCCCTGCATTGTATTGAAAAATCAGTATTCTTAATTTGCAAAAAGGAGCTTTATAATTATCTATTTTTTATGTGTGTGTGATTATGTTTTCAGTATGAAGACCATCTGCCCTATCATAGGGGATGGAAAATGTGAGATCCTGGCAATTTTTCTGTGATATAGAAATCTGAGGCCTGTAAAGTGAAATAAAAATATGTTCTAAAGATTTATTTCTTTCATGGAACATTGACAGCCAAATTAGTCTGGATGCAGCAGAAAAGAGTCTTGAAGGTTTTTTTTTTGTCAAATTAGGCAGTTTACCACACTTCATTGAACAGAAAAGGAAAGTTGGCCAATTTTTTTTTAATAGCTGACAAAGCATATTAAAAAAATAATGTAATGTTTTTGATCACTGAATCTGCTTCTAGATGATTAAATTCCCATTGTTTTTTCAGCAGTTCCCAGACTGGAATGACTAGAAAGCAAACCCAATTATTCTCACAGGAACATGCATGGTGACTTTGGAAATCTGTATTTAAGCCTTGCAAAGCACCTCACTTTCAATGTAACTCAAGAAAATTGCTTGCCTTTGCTCCTGTGTAGCCATCTATCTCCAAGAGGCAGTGAGAGAAGAAGGGGTGAGAGATGCCTGGTTGAAGTCCTGAGTAGGGAATGGGGCAACAGGAGCAAGCTGTGCTCTCCCGTGGGTCTTGGAGTTAGGGAGCATTGCAGTGATAGGACAAGGGGTAATAGGTTTAAACTTAACAGGGGAAGTTTAGATATAAGGAAGAAATTCTTTACTGTGAGGGTGGTGAGGCTTTGGAACAGGTTGCCCAAAGTGGTAAATGCTCCATCCCTGGCAGTGTTCAAGGCTGAGTTGGACAGAGCCTTGGGCAACATGGTGAGGGGATTAGAACTAGATGATCTTAATGTCCTTTCCAATCCTAACCATTCTATGGTTCTATGATTCTAACACAGGGCAGACACGAGCAGGCAGTCTGGGGATCAGCTGTACCTGATGAAACCGTTCTCATATCTCTTCCTTTCAGGAGGTTCCAAAACTTGGTATTGCAAAAGTATGGTACATGATCATTTGACCTGCTTATGGGCTTAATTTCCAGTCAACTAGTGTGAACATTAGAGTGTCATGTTCTATGGTCCCTGCTTCTTTTCATTTAGATATCTTTTGCATGGAAAAGATAAGAGATGCACTGGTTCAATGCTTTTGTCTCTGCTTTAGAGATGCATGTGTTATAATCAGACTTCATTTTAAATTGCTGAAATGCCTTTTTTTTTTTTTTTTTTTTCTGTTTGTGGCTGTTGTAGTCAGCTAAACAACTTCTACATGTGTTGGCTTTCAGCTTGATGTGTTCGTAGAAACTGGTTTCCTCTTAAGCAGCCTTGACCGTATCATAGAAATAGTAGCAATGCATTTTTGGGGGGGGTAATGAACTAGTGAAACAATAGAAGGAAAAGAAGGAAGTGGAGCAAAGACGATTTGCCTCACAGAATGATGAAGACTGCTCAAAAACACCCCAACAACCAAACAACCCAAAAAGCAAGATACAAAGATACAGTTAATCCTTCATTTCTATACTCTTTCTGCAAAAGACTGTAGATTTTTCTTCTCTTTTCTTTTTCTATCCCTCCTGCCCCTTTCCCTCAAACAATAGATGTGGGATATTGTCAAGAAAGAAGAAATTATTCTGGAATATTGGTTTCAAAGTGTTGGTTTGAAGGCTGATTAGTGTTTCTGTCTGCTAAGTCTTGGTTACTCATTATGCACACCAATAAACGGCTCAATGGACACAGAAATGATTATCAGTGAGAATACCCTTGATTCCCCCATCTCACCTCCTCAGAGAAACATGATATTTTTGATTTGCTAGAATTTTATTCTAGCTTTAAATGTTTGTCATGCTGCCTGAAAGACAGAACTCCAAGGTGAAGGCTGTGTGGTAACGAGATGGCACAGCATGAGTAAAAATCTGTCTGAAATGTATGAAACAGTGAGACCAGCGGATGATAGAGAACTGATGCTCAGATGCTGATAAACTTCAAGCCTAGTGGATGAGTAATATCACAAAATACTGAGAAATTTGGAGGAAAATTTAAAGGGAAATTTTTTGTCCTGTGAAAGACAAAGGAAAAACTCTCACTGATTCAACCCAGTCCTTCTCCTGGTGTTTATGAATGAATGTCTTATTTTCAAAGAAGATGATCAAGGGTGGCTGTGCTTGGGTTTGTTTATTTTTAATTGCTTCTTAATTCTTAATCAAACATAACCCTTGTAAATCTGGTCCTTTTTTTCCATTGGGATATTTTCTTCAGCAAAACTGATAACTTACCTAAACTATCAAATAAGGAAATTCATTTTGCTTGAATAGTATCAAAGTTATTAATTTTTTACTGTATCTTGCAGATGTGTAGTTTAATATAGTGAATACCTCTATTAACTGCCAGCATGACAGTCTGAAAGGAGCTGTTTCAGCTGGCTGAATCAAAGTATTTTGGCTTGTTTTATTTCATGAAAAAGTCCTGGAAGTTTGATGTCTTGTCTTGATTCAGTTTACCAAGAGAAAATTTCAGAATTTGTCACAAAACAGGGAATATGACTTGTTATAGCCTTTGCATTACCTATACCTCTCAGGAAAAGGCCCTGGCTGCCATGTGTGTGACAGCAGCCACTAGCAGAAGGAACATGGAGAAGACCTCCCTGAGTAGATAACAGCTTGCCTGTTTGGGTATAAAACCAGGGCAGCAGTGGCTGTATAATGCTGCCTAAAAAGCAAAACTTACTGCAGCAGTATCTCAGCTCAGTCAACTGAATAAATGTGCAGGATGTAACTCTGAACTATGTGAATTTTTCATCTTATGCTTTCAATAGCTAAATTCAGATTACCAAGGAAGGGAGCAGGGTACGCCACACTACACACAGATGTAAACGAACATTGAGAGGGGATAAAGATGATCTGTCACTTAGCAGAAGAATAAAGATGCAGATTTAGACATTGAACACAAGTGCAAAACTCATAAATAAAAGTACTTCAATGCATATAGAATATATTGCTAGCACAGAAAATTCAAGGTCATGGCTTAGTCACAATCAAAAGAATTATTTATGTAGTTGAATCAGAAAGTTAGGAGGATAAAAACTTTCAAGTTTTTAACCAACATTTCAGGCATTAAAATAACGCTAACCTTGCCAGGAGTGTAACACAATTACCAGGTATTCAGGACACATAACAC